GACTTGCGTGCTTGGGCCTCTCTTGTTCCTTAAGATTCCCATTTATCCAGGCAGTCTCAACTTCAGATGTGAATTAAGTATGTAAAGGTGGAATTCACAAAACACCCTTAATTTCTCTTTTGCTCATACCATCTCCAGAAGAGCTTGTTTAGTTACACATCTCTCTCCTTTATTTAACTTTTTAAAAATGAATTATTGAACATTTTCTCCCTCTTTGCTTACTATACTGCCGTGTCCTCAGCTCTTGGCCTGTCCCTGGAATAAACACTCAGTATTTTGTAAAGCAACCTTGATATTAATTTAACTTCTCTTTCTTATCAGGCAGGTGGCATAGTCCTTGGGAGCTGTACTGAGAAGCTGAAGGCTAACGCAGCAGTTCTGAGAGACAGGAAATCACCTCCTATTTGATTTATAGCCTCTGAAAATGTGCTGGAGGGTCAGCTATGAGCTGGCTCTGGCTCAGTGGCAATGCACTGAGTTCTTATAAGGTAGAATATACACTGGTCAGGGGTGGAGAGTGCCGCCATATGGTAGGGTATGGAACACTGTATATATACAAACGATCAGACGGGGTACCAATCTGTAGTGTAAACTTTCACTAAAGCACAATTAGGTAGTTTTGGTCACAAAGCTTTAGCAAGTTTTGCGTCTAACTCAAAGGCTGCACCTATCAGTAGTTTGACTTCACCAGCAGCTCCATGGGAGAAAGATGGTCAGTCTCCTCCTGTGTGATTTACAGCTTCAGAAAGCTGCTGGAAGGCCAGCTATGAGTCAGTTCCAACTCATTGACAATGACTTTGCAGTTGTTGTATTGCTGGTTTTTTTTTTTTTAGTTTAAACACTGGAAAAGAAATGAAAATACACCTATCAACCAAGGTTAGCATTCTAAGTCACTTGGTTTTATATGTTTATTTGTACACAACCTCTCTGCTATCAAGAAGGCATAAAAGGTACCAGTGTTATTTGGTTTAATAGAACTTATTGTAATAGAACATGGTATCTGTTAAAGCGTCTACATTTTCTTCATTTCCCAAGAAGCACTCCATATTAGCACAGTTCCTGAAGAAACTCTTTCATGGCCAGTTGTATGAAACTTCTTGCTTTCTAGATGTTTATTGTTCTTTTCATAAACTCCTGTCTCCTTTTTTGGCTAATGTCCTGCTAATCTTGCAAGACTTAGGTGCAGAGCCAATTTCTCCTGGAAACTCTTCCAGAATGGCTAATGGCCTGCTAGTCTTTCAAGACTTAGGAGCAGAGCCAATTTCTTCTGGAAACTCTTCCAGAATTGCCCAGGTTGAAGTTGGAGACATTTCCCTTTGTTTCTCCAGCACCTTAGTAATCTTATTGTTTCATAGTTACTCTATCATAAGAGGGGAGCATCCAGTGAGTATTTTACTTACTTCAGTTTTCCTAGCAATTGGGGCAATGTCTGATGTGGCAGAGATACCAAGACATCAGAATTTTTGTGTGAGTGTCCCATCAAATCAGATCTGACTGGTACAGGGGAGATTGTCCCTCCTTCCCCAGCAGAGCATCTGGTGGATTCGAACCATGCGCCTCTGGGATTGTAGTTGCAGCTCCTTGCCACTAGGCCACCAGAGCTCCCCTAAGACATCAGAATTTAAGCCCTGAATTGTCAGCTCTCTGAGTAACAAGTTGGTTAGGTGATCTTGAATGCTTGTGTGAGGTAATTTATTCAGTATATTTATGAATTATAATCCTTAGTTAGCTGGAAAATGGTAGATATGGTTATGAGTATTCTTTATAGTTTGATTGTGAAACTGTGCTGTTTGTACCAATATCCCTGAGGCAAGTCACTGAATTTATTTTAGACTGGCTTTCTTATCTGGGAGTGATTGATATCTTAAGGAGTAGAGGTTCCAAGTAAATGTCACCAGCTACCTTAACAAACAGAGGAAGATCTGAAGTGCTTCATGCAGAAGGTCAAGGACTGCAGCCTTCAATATAGATTGAAGCTCAATGTCAAGAAAAAAAAGATTCTCAACACTAGGCCAATTGGCAGCGTCATGATAGATGGTGAAGAGATTGAGATTATTAACAGCTTTAGTTGCTTGGCTCCACAATCAACACTCTTGGCACCAGCAGCCAGAAAATGAAATGACAAATTGCATTGAGAAAGTCTGCTCTTAGAGACTTCTCCAAAGTACTGAAGAGCAACGACGTGAGGCTGGAGACTAAGATGCACCTGATCCAAGACACAGTCTTTGCAAATACTTACTATGCATAGAGAGCTGGAAAATGACTAGGGATGATAGAAGAAAAATTGAAGCCTTTGATCTGTGGTGCTAGACAAGAGTATTGAATACCATGAACTGCTAGGAGAACAAACAGGTTAATCCTAGAGAGGGTGACAACAGACAAGGATTCTGAAGCTTTGTCTGATATACTTTGGAAATGTTGCAAGGAGGAACCAGTCCTTGGAGAGGGACATCAGACTTGGGAGGTTGGAGGGACAGTGAAAGAGAGGAAAACCCTCAAGAGGATTGATTCAATGACTGGGGTTATGAGGGTGGGTGTGTCAAAGACAATAAGATTGGCACAGGATAGAGCAGGGTTTAGGGCTGCTGTTCATAGGGTCGCTATGAGTTGCTGGCGACTCAATGGCACACAACAGCAACAACAACAAAACCACCTTAACAAAAGGCAGCTCTGGTAGCCTCATAGAAAGTTTCACTGTCAACCCAAAGGCAAGATGTTCAAATCCATTAGCCATTTTAAGGGAAAAAGATGGGCAATCTCCTCACATGCAATTTGCAGCCTTTGAAAACCTGTTGCAGGGCCAGCTATGAGTAGGTTCCAAAGAGCAATGAGTTGTTTGCTGTTACCTTAAGAAAGAAGACAAACTAAACCCATAAAGTAACCAAAAGCATTAATTCTCTCCTGTATAGATCCTTTTATCGAACATTCATGGCTGTCATAATCTAAACCTTCTTTAGAAGAGTTTCATGACAAAGCGACTTCTAGTGCAAGATTACTATTTCTGCTCTTTTCCAGCTCACTCCAGAAGTGTCTTCAAGTGAGTTCAAAAGGAATGTCTGTTTCTGAGATAAAGTTAAGGGAAGCGAGATTCTTTTTGATGCAGAGGACAAATATGTGGTTGAGGCTCACAATGACTCACTGGGATGGAGAGGACAAAGGGCAAAAGCCAATTTTAGTAAAAGATTGTAAGGAAGGGTATTGTTGTTAGGGGCCATCCAGTTGGCTCCACCCCTCGGAGACCCTGGGTCTCTGCGAACAAAACCTTGCCTGATGCAATGCCATCCTGAGTCTAGGCTGTATTCAAGCCCGTTCCTGCAGTCACTGCATCAAACTATTTTGATGAGGATAGTCCTCTTTTTTGCTGACTCTCCGTTTTTCTAAGCATGATGACGTTTTCCAAGGACTGGCCCCTCCTGACAATACATCCCAAGTATGCCAGACAAAGTCTCATCATCTTTGCCTCTAAGGAGCATGCTGGAGTCACTTCTTCCAAAATAGATTCGTTTTTTGTTTTGGTCAGCCATGGGATAGTCAATATTCTTTCCTATTACCAGAATTCAAAGGCATAAATTTTGTGCAATTCATCTACTCATTTTCCAACTTTCACATGTATATGAAGCACTGACAATACCATGGGCCAGGTGCACCTTAGTCTTTAAACTGACATCCCTGCTCTTTCACACTTTAAAGAGGTCCTTGGCAGATTTGCCCAGTGCAATAGGTCCTTTTATCTCCTGACTGCTTCTTCCATGGATGTTGACTGTGGATACAAGCAGATGGAAAGTGAGATTAAATGGAAAATGTAGGGTGGGAACTTTGTTTATCAATTAACAAAAGAAGATATTAGAAAACCAACACATCACAGCAATAAATATATGAATGGAGCCAATCTGACAAACCCCTCCAATCCATTTTCCAGTTTCCCATTACAAGCATCTTTAAATATGAACTTTTGCCGATTCTAAGAACATTAAAAACACACGTTTCCAGGAGAATTAACTGAACCTTGGTGAATATCCCAAAATACAGCCATAAAAATGCACAAGGAGCATGCTTCTTAAGAATCTTGTCTGTAATCCATCTTGATCAAACCGAAATACCACCAGGCTTGAACAACAGTAGAAAATGCTAAAGTTCGAGTTGGCTCTTGCCACTCTCAGGCCTACAGGGTCTACTGTCCCTTCTCAGCCTGGCTTCAGAGCTGACCCACTTACACATATGGAGTGGAGGGTGTGGTGTGTTGGCGCTCCGAGCTGACCTGGGAGCGTTAACATGGAATACACACTGCTCGGGTTTCTTTGATAGCATAACTTTATGCTCTTATTTACCTACAACGGGAAAACTGTAATTTGGTTGAGGCAAAGTTTAACTGAAAGCTTTGGCAATACAGCGGACGTGGAAAACACTAAGTGTCACAGTGGAGAGAATAGTCCGGCACATGGCTGGCTTTGGTGAAAACCTAGTGTACATTTATAGAAGAAGATTCAAAGTTCATTAAGTGACCCTTGTCCCTCGTACGCCCCTTTCTCGGAGCTCCCCTAATTTCGGATTAAGGACAATGAGGGATGGGGGATGGGGGGATCTAGATTTTGCTGGCCAAAGTGCTCTAAGAAAGGTGACCAGAGATGCAAGTTTTTGGAACGAGAGAGGTGCCAGGCATGGAGGTGAAAGTCAAAGATTTTGTGGGAGGAGCGAGGGAGGAGAGTGCAAGAGTAAACGCATGGAAGGGATGGGCGGGAGGACAGGGCCGGAGCCAGAGAAGGGGAGACTCAGCTGTTAACAGGCAGGGCCAGGGGTGACAGGCCGAATCTGGATCAAGGAAAAGTATGGGGTGAGGGGTGAGCAGATCAGGGTCGCACCACGGATCGAGTTTGAGGGTCGAGGGGTTGGTGAGGATGGGGCTGGGCCAGGATGCCAGTCCCACCCGAGGCTGGCTTAGAGAGGGGACGGAAAGGATCCAATTCCTAGCTTCGTGATCCCTTGGTGTCACCCTCACTCGCCTGCAGGATCCGGGCACGCACTGCAGCCGCCGTCACCACTGCCGCCATGGCTCCTCGTTGCCTCTTAACCACCTCTGCAGCCTGCGAAGTCTTCAGAAACAGTCGCTGCCAGACCCCGCCCCGCCCCCGCTCTGGACCGTCTTATTGGCGGGGAAGACCATTCTCCTTAGCCAATCACTCGCCCTTAGACCTGACTTTACTCCCGCCCTCCAAGTCCTGAGGATAGACGATTGGTCAGAAGTGAAAGCATTCTCCCCCCACCCCCACCTCAGTAAATTCTGTTGGCGGATGTAGGAAAAGACACCCCAGATTTGGGTACTTTTTATTGAACACACGGAAGACGCCCCCTAATCTGGAACTCCGATTGGTCATAGGCGCTACCATAGCTCCGCCCCTTCACTCTGGAAAGTAAGACCTTCCAAGGATTTTTTTCAATCGTCCCACCTCAGCTGCTGCGCTAGGGGGTGTGGCTATTGTAGGGGGCGGGGATATGCAAAGAGACACTGTAGGGCGGGGAAATGGGGCCTAAAGACGGGTCGGTGATAGGGTCCCCCTTGGGGGCAGGGCTTGTGGATCTCTTTCCCGCCGACGGTTGGCTATGTCACGTGACATGAGTAGGAAGATGGCGTCTCCCACGGACGGTAAGTGCCGGCTTAAGAGTCTTCCTTCATCTACCACTTTGTTCTCTGCTCCTGATTACGTCCCCTCTCTGGCTGCTCTTTGAAGTCACACATTTTCTTCGATCCCCTCCTCTGCTTTTCTTCCCACTTCTTTTCTTTCTTCAGCTTGCCGATTCTTCACCTGGGTTCCGGAGGTGCTGATTTCCCCTGTGTGTACAGAGCAGGTTTTAGAATCGCATCCACGAGGAATTCATCACAGCAAAAGGACTGTTCATCTTGACCTTCCCTTAGTTCTATTTAAGTGAAACTGAGGCAGAGGGGGAGCGGTACCTTTTATTGTAGCTTTCTCTGTCATGGGCGTCCCGCAGTGAGTCCTTAGCTGACCTCATCCCAGGACTGAGCCTCAAGAGAAATAAAATTTTCTCCTGTTCCTCAAACTGGAATCGGTGCCTCTGTAGCTAGAGAAGCGGGCGACCTTCTTTGCCCCTCGCCATGAGATCCTTGGAAAAGGTGGCTTGAGCTGTTTGATGTGGTCTTGTACACGTCGCTACCTAATTGTGGAATGATGTTTCTGGATAAATGAATGAACTATTATTTCTGGCACTGTCGTCTTAGATGCAGATCATCTCAGGTGGCAGTTAAGTGGTTTGGTATGTTTTTGCATCGGTTTTGCGTTCGGGCCTTGTGATTTTTTTGTTGTTGAAAATATACACAGCAAAAACATAACACAGTTCAGGAATTTTTTCATAGGGGATTCAGTGACACTGATTATGTCCTTCAGATTGTGTAGCCATTTTCATCCTCTTTTTAAGAATTGCCCCGTCGTTAGCATAAACGCAAGGTCTTGCAGAGAGTTAGCTCTTTTTGCTTCTGCCACCGATTGCACTGAGATGGACTTTCCTCTTCACACATAAACACATTGTGTGTTCGGAAGGAATTGTTTGTTTCTTGTCTACCGTGGAGTCAGAACTGATTCCGAGCCCGAGCAGGGTGTTATCCCAGGAGTAAATTTCAGAGAAGGAGATTGTCCATGTTCTCAGCAGAGCAACTGATGGATTCCAACTACATACTTTGATTGACAAGACAGTTCCTTACCACTAAGCCACTAGAGTTCCCTATTGTCATCATAGACTTTAATGTGCCTGTTCCCTGCTGGATTATAAACAGCAGCTTGCTTTTGTTCACAGTTGTATCTCAGAGGTTTTAGCACAGTGATTGGCAAGTAGTGGATGATCACATGCTTGCATAAAACATTACCTGATGAAAGCATCAAGAAAACAAAACTTCTCACCGCTAGACTGAAAGGGAACATCAGGATGGATGGAGGAAAGATTGAGACTTACTTCTTCCTACTGGGTTTCATAGTCAGTACCCTTGGAACCTGCAGTTAAGCGGTCAAGAGATTTATTGTACTCGGAAAGGTTATAGTCAAGGACCTCTTCAGATCATTCCAAGAGTAATGATGTCAGTTTGAGGACTAAGATGAGCCTGATTCAGGCCACGGTCTTTTCAGTCACTTTATATGCCTCTGAGAGCTAGACAATAAGAATGGCATAAGAATTGATGCCTTTGAACTGTGGTGTTGGAGAATAGTGCTGTAGATCTCATTGACTGCCAAAAGAACAGATAGAAATGTCTTGGAGAAGGTGCCCGCAGAGTGCTCCTTGGAGGCAAAAATGATGAAACTTCATCTCATGTACTTTGGGCATGCTAGGAGAGTTTATTCCTTGGAGAGGGACATCATGCTTGGGAAGGTGGAGGGGCAGCAAGAGAGAGGAATACCCTTGACCAGTTGGGTTGACACAATGACTATGGCAGTGGGTTTGAGTCTGGCAGAAATTGTGAAGATGGCACAGGGTAGTACAGTGTTCAGATTCATCAGTGCTCAGTGTTCATAGGGTCACTAAGAATGGTACTTGACTCAACGGCACCTAACTACAACAACAATAACAAGTATTTTGTTTATGGTACAGATATATTGTATAATGAATTGTGGCTTTGAGGAGTCTCTTTGCTAGATGTTCTCTTGCTACATTTTTTTTCTCTTCCCAGAAAAGAAAATAAAAGAGGCATTTAAAATAAAAAAATCAGCCAAGTGTTAGATATAGAAATAATGGCTATTAAAAAGTTTTAATTTAACCTTATACATTGCAAATGGGAATGTGTGTGTGTTGGCGGGAGGAATTTCTGAGTCTGTAAATCCTAACTTTGAGAAAATGACCCATCTTTCTCCCTCAGAGCTATTGATTGGTTTGAACTTCTGTGGAGGGGTGGCCTTTGAACACAATGCACTACTTGCTACAACTCACTACAGAGCTCCTTATTGTATACCTTATCTAAAAAGACAAGAAAAGGCAAATACATAGATACCAAAGAAGTATGGGCAGTCCATTTCCATATGAATTTTTACCTCTGAAAACCCACAGAAGGGTCAGCTGTGAGTCATTTCTGACTCATCCACATACAACAACAACAACAAAATTTATTAGTGGTTCCTGGGGGTTGGGAGGAAAGGAAAGCTAAGAGTATATGTATGAAGAATATGTAGGATTGCACAGCCAATTACAATTGCTCTTACTGAGTTATGTACTTACAAGAAAGTGAATTGGTAAAAGTTGTAGAATAGATATATTTATAACAGCAACAAAAAGAGTAGCTGCTTATGTACAGCCAAATACCTCAAAGGATTTAGTTATTGGTCTGGAGGGTTTATGGGACCCACATACCTTTTGCTGTCAGGTTGTTTCTGACTCTGTAATTTTTTCAGACAGAATGGAACTGTCTTGTAGGGTATTCAGGGTTGTTGATCTTTACAGGGCTGGCTGCCTCATCTTCTCCCACAGTAGCTATTGGGTTCAAACTGCCAACCTCTTTGTTAGCAAACCAGTGTTTAACCTGCTAAGCCACCAGAACTCCTTTTTTTTAATGAAACATGCCAGTTAATTGGCCTAATACTATGTTTAGTGCTTCTCTTCTCCTGGGATTTTCAAAGCTTATAAGTGGCCTTCTAAGTCACGATTGGTCTCTGTTTACCTGGAGCAGCAGAAGGAGTAAAGTCAGGAGTAGGAAGAAGGTATGAAATGTATGGCTAATTGTATCCATGTTCAACTGTTTTATTTACCTGGAGACCAGAAAAACTGGCTATTACTTGGCTAGAAGCAAAGATGATGAAACTTTGTTTCACATATTTTGAGCATGTTATCAAGAGGGAGGGACCAACTCTTAGAAAAAGACTTTGGAGGATTAAAGGGTCAGCAAGGGGATGTTGGATGGACACAGTGATTTTTAGGATGAGCTTTAGCCCAGCAGAGGTTGTGAGGCTGGTGCAGGATTCACACAGGCTTTTGTTCCGTTGTGCATGATGAATAGGGTCACTATAAACCAGAGCCAACTCAGCAGCACCTAACAACAATAACAACAGTGTTACGGATCATTGTAAGCAGAGATTCTACTGATTAGTTAGGATCTAAAGGGAGAAATGATAGAATTTCAAATCCTCCTGCACTCAGACTTTCTTGGAGTCCTGAAACTTTTGCTTTGAAATAGTATGTAAACCTTAAACTAAAAATACTTCTTAAGACCAAACAATAGATTAGCTTCATGGAGACAACGTTGTGCTGCCAACCCAAATCTACCAGCTGCTTCACAGGAGAAAGATTGGTAGTCTTTTTCCATGCAAGGTACATCCTTTGAAAAATCACTGGAGAGTCAGCTATGATTTGGTTCTGACTTGAGGGCACATAACAACAATACAACAATAACAGTAAAAGATCTGACTTGAGCATTGTTGTTGTTGTGTACCATCAAGTCGAAACAACCCATAGCTGACCCTCCAACGGGTTTTCAGGGGCAGTTAATCACATGGGAGGAGATTGCCCATCCTTCTTCCACAGAACAGCCGGTGGCCTCAAACTGTGTGTCTTCAGGATTGCAGCACAGCTTCTTGCCACTGGGCCACCAGAGCTCTGTTAAGTATTGGGCTCTTTCCCCTCCCTCCCTTCCTCCCAACCAGGCTCTTATAAGAATTAGGATCAAATTGACAGCAGCAACTTGGAGGGGCAGTGAGTTCACAAGGGAGGAGCAGCTGAGAAAAGGAGAGTGAGAATGACCAATGACTGTACCACTTAAAGGATGTAATCAGTGTCACAAAAATGATACTGAAGAGACTGTTGAATTGATAGGTATTTTGCTGTGTAAGTCCTCAACAACAGCAAAATAAATAACACATAGGAAAAATTCATCTATTATGACATTGTTTTTGTATTTATCCATTTTAGAGAGCCTAGAGTTGTGTCCCTAGTTTGATTTTCCCTGTAGGTGTTTTTTGCCCCCTCCTTTCTCTTTGGAAATACCTCAAAACTACTTAGAACATTTTTTCTCCTTGGATAATACAGCCATCTCTGTAGTTCTAGGTTGGTTTTTTTTACGTTTCCGTGCTTATTTCTTACAGAATTCTACCTTTTCCCTTTTTATTCTGGCACAGTCAAGATGAGCACGTTGGACTTAAATTCAGTGTCTTAATAAGCACCTTGTCTAAAATATCCACCAGCGTAGTTTCTCTCATTTCTATTTTTAATATTTCACCGGTTTCTGTCTTAAAAATTTCTTGCAAATAATGTAAATTTGAAAATAACTTTATGCCATTTATTTTTTGTCTTTTCAAGTGAGAAGTGAGCTGAGTCTTTGAAAAGAAGAAAGTTGAAACCCAAATAAGAACATTTTGAATTAGTTAATTCTGCAAGTTAAGAGTCACACTAGGATTCGGCATGATGATGATGACTGGACCTTAGCACTAATAAATGCATTTTTGATGTGGATGAACTTTCATTCATTGAGAATCTGAAAAATTTGGTGTTATACATGGCTTTTTCCCTCTTACCATTTTTGCATGTTGTAGCTACTTGGCTCCACAATCAACACTCTTGACACCAGCAGCCAGGAAATAAAAAGACATATTGCGATGGGAAAATCTGGTTGGGACCTCTCTAAAGTACTGAAGAGCAATGGTGTCTCTCTAGAGACTAAGGTGCATTTGATA